GGGTCCTCGTAGCAGGAGAAGGGGCTCCCATTGGCATCATAGCCTGCCCTGCACAAGTGGTTCATGCCCTCCTCCCCCCACGGGGACACAGCACAAGGGGATGCAGGGATGCGCTGGTGCCTTACCATCTGGGGTGGTTCTTATTGAACTAGGGAGCTGGAAGGGGCGGCTTCGGGGCTCTGACCTTCGCCCGACCGACCCCAAGGGCAGGGAAGTGGGTTGCGCCCACGACTCTGAGGATCCAGCCTGGCCCTCTCATTGTCCATCCCTCTGTGTGTCCGGAAGGCAGCGGGGTGGAACCGGGGCCGTGAACCCCCAGTGCCGGCCTGCAGAGGGGGCGGGGAGCTGGTGGAGGGACGCTATGGGGTGGCTCAGGCGAGCGGCACCGCGGAGCTCTGGAGATTCAGAGCAGCTGGGGCCAGCGGCTCTGTGATTTTTATACTGAATGAGCGTCAGCCTGCTGCCTGCCAGGCTTGCTGGCGTCTGCACACACTCCCAGGCCCTGCCAGCGGCCCAGGGGGGCTGCCGCCCAGCCCAGGGGACAGCCCCCAGCAGCCAAGGGGGAGAGCTGAGGTCGAACGGAGCCCTCTCTCTGGGTGGACAGGGCTGGGTCCTGCTCGCTGCCCCCTGCTCTAGCAGTGACCGCTGATGGCCTTGGGGGGCCCGGCCCCCCAGCCTGGGCCAGACCTGGCCATTTGCCACACACTGGTGCCCTGCTGGCAGACTTGGGGAATTCCTAAATTTCAGGGCCATGCAAATAAATTGGGGCACTGGCACTGCCGAGGCTCCAGGGAGACTCCGCCCGCTCCCGGCAGCCCCCTGCAAGTGAAGCCCCGTTTCCCTGGCTGGCGCCTCTTGCCAGATGCGGCTGCGGCTGAGGGGCCAGAGGCCGCTGGGGGCTGCCCTGCCTGCCCGTCTCCATCCTCGCCATGTCCTGTCTGCCGCTTGCTTTCGGTCTCCTGTGCCAGCCCCTACTCCCCGGTGCCCTCCACCCCGGCCCTCGCCCTGGCGCTGACAGAACCGGTGAGAGCCTGTGTGTGGGGAGGTGATGATCTGTGCGAGACGCCCAGCTCAGCCCAGCTACAGGAGGCACAAGGGGTTCACTGGCCCTCCTGGGTGCGGGGGCCTTTCCCCGGGGGCCAGAAGTGCCAGGCCATGGTGATGGCAGACCTCAGGGGAAAGGCAGACGTCTCGGGGCCTGTGCGGGGCGTCAGCCCCCCTCCTTCTCCTCCAGCTAGCTGAGGCCCTGAGAACTCACTGCCCGTGGAGGGCCAGGGGGCCTTGAGCTTCTCCCTGACGCCTGCCAGCCCCCTGGCCAGCTCCCTGGTTAGCAAAGAGGGCAGGACTCCCTGGTTAGCAAAGAGGGCAGGACTCCCTGGTTAGCAAAAAGGGCAGGACTCAGTGGACCCCAGGCTGAGGAGGGGAGCGGGAGGGCAGGGTTGAGTTCTGGGGTGTTGATATCTCTTAATTTAGGGCAACAGATCCTGATTTCTTTCTATAGTTGTGAGCACAGGTCTCCTATAAAATAAGGATAAGAAAAGGCAGCAGAGGCATTTTCAAATTAAATATCCTGTCCGTTGTAAGGGAGAGGAGGTGGGTCGACAAGGCCAGAGAGCTGGAGGCTTGAAGCTGAAGGTCACTTCACAGGAAGAGAAAGCAAACCCTTGGCTTCTTCTCCAGGAAAAGCACAAGCCCCCCCCCGCCCAGGGGGGCCTCCAGCAGCCCTGTAATCGGACATGCGCTCAGGGCACCCACCGGCACACAGCGTGTGCACGAATCGGCTTTAAGGGAGCAGAGGGGCCGAGAAGAGCGGGGCGCTGGGCCACCCAACCGCCACCGGCAGGGAAACTCATGTGGAAACCGCAGATCAGCTGTGCTCCTGAGACTGTCTGCTGCCTGCGGCCGGCGAGCCTGTGTGCTACGGGTCAAGGCGGCTGGGCCGGCCGTGCCTCCCCGGGGCTGGGATTGCCAAGAACCCTGCCCCTGGCCCCGAGCTGCCCACTCTCACCCCTCCCTAGTGCTCCCAGGGAGGGGTGCTCGAAACCTGCGGGCCCTGCTGGGTGGCGCACAGGCCTGCTTGAAACCTGTCCCCAGCCCTTCCCTCTCACAGGGGGCTGGGGCCGGGTCACACTCCCAGGGATGCACCGCTGTAACTGCTCTGGACATCTCACCGTGCAGACTCAGAGAGAACAGACTTTTCTGACCCGCTGCCAGCATACTTGGTGAGCAAAGATGAGAATTCAGGGCCGGGACAGGGAAGAAAGGTCGGAGAAAGGAAAAACTCCAGGCTTCTCGAGAGCCGGTGCGCCCCCTCGGAAGCTCAGGGCCTGGTCACCCCCGGCACAGCAGTGTCTCTGAGATCAAAACAAAGAAGAGGGGTGGAAGGTGCATCCAGCAAAGAACCGGGCTCAGGTGAACCCCACACGCTGTCCCCACCGAAAGCGCGCGAGTCCGGGCCTCTGCCCTGGCCCCCAGCTAACACAGGATCTCGCAGCAGCCGGCTTTCCAGGTGGAGAAAGAGCTGGGCTGGGAACAAGCCTGCACCCCAGCCAGGCAGGGCACCGGCGTCCTCTGCGCCTCCCTGGCCTGGCTGGGCCACCCCACACTTCAGGCTTTCCCTGGATACCAAAGGACAGCAGAACCAGGGGGGCTCCCCCCATTCGCAGATAAGGAAGCGGAGACCCCCCCGCAGCAAGCTGGCCTGAAGCCGCTCCTGGCTGCAGCAGGGTTCCCTCCTCTCTCCCCAGCTAAGGTTACTCCCCCGCCCTATCTGCAGGCCCAGGCTCCGAACAGCCCTTCCCACCACTTCCTCGCCAGCACAGGGACCAGCAGAATCACTCTGCCCCCTACAGTACAGCACCTCCCCCAAGAAAAGACAGACTTCCCGCCCTAGCGGAAGGAAATAACCTTTTCCCAAAGAGCACGTTCTTTGCAACAATCTCCAAATATGAGAAAACCGAGGCCCTGTGGCCATGTTTCCAAATGCTAGCAACTGCGAAGACAATAGTGCGAGTGACGCATGGCTTGACCCAGGAGGGGGCCTGGGAAGGCGTCTGCAGGAGGAGGTGCAGGAGGAGGGGTGCGTGCCAGCGGTGCCCTGTAATCCTGGGTCCCTTGCCGGGGCAGGGCCTGGAGGTGGACCACGTAGAGGACAGGGCTGCACCCTTGCGGCGGCAGGAGCCTGGCAGAGCCCGGCAGAGCCCAGCACCTGGCGGCCCCGCCCGAATGACCTGTATCTCAGGGAGCAGGTCTCCGTCTCCTGCACTGCCGACCCCGAATTCCACCCATCTCCTTCTTCAGGACCACGTGCACCCGCTTCACAGGACGGGAGACTGAGGCCCAGGGAAGGGAGGGCCAGGCCTGTGCGCCACCCAGCAGGGCCCGCGGGAAAGAAAACCTCCAGGCCGCCAGGGCTGCTACCACCCCAGGCCAAGCGCACGGGAGCCAGCTGTCCCCATTCATCCCTCCACAAACTTCCAGGAGGCCGTGTCCTGCGGGCACGCAGCTCACAAGAATCTGCTGCACACGCGGGCACAAGAGAGCACAGCAGCATCAGAACTGGGACTTAAAACAACAAAGCAGCTGCCCGCCCTCCACCACCCTAGAGAGGCCACCCAGGGGGTGGAGGCCGGGAGATGGGAGCCCCCTGTCTGCCCTCGTGCGCGGCATGTGGGACACCAAGGCCCGTCAGGCTTAAGGGGACATGCTCCCACCCACGGCCCCCCCATACAAGGTGAACGCTGCATCTGCCGTCAGCGGACACACGAGGCACAGCGAGGGTGCAGAGCCCGGGCACTGGACCGGGCACTGCCGAGCGCTTTCCGTCCAGTTAAAGGCAACGGCCTCAGCGGTCATCCAGGGCCTCAGGGGTCATTCACCCTAGGCCTGAAATTAGCTGCACCTTGAGCCCTGCTGAGAAGAGCTTCACTTCCCTCCGCCTTCCACGCCATGTAGTAAAGACCTACTCTGTACGGGCGTGGGCCGACCGAGAACGCGCCCAGGGACCGTGAAACCAAGTCCCCCCTCCATGCACGGACCAAGAGGAGGACAGAGTTTGATTTTAGGATCAGTAAAACCGGGGTCAAAATCCGAGCTCTACCATTTGCTTGCTGGGAGGCCTTTTCTGAGTCTCAGTTTCCCCATCTGACAAACAGGGGTAAGAATGTGACCTTGCCAGGTGGCTCATAGGATCCGGCTTCCCGCAGGGGGCCCTGGGCCACACCCCCCACAGCCAGCAGCAAGCACCTGCCGCCTCCCAATGCCCAGTGCCCCCATCCCCGGGCTCCACGGTGCTCCCCAGTAACAAAGGCCTGGGGTTGACGAGGCGCACTCCAGGCGCACTGGCCACGGTGGGCGATTATCCTGGGGCCACCTTTGGGTGGGAAATGCAGCAAAACCTCTTGGTTTATACAGCAGACACAGCCCATGCAGAAGCCCTCGCAGGCCGGGGAGGCGAGAGGAAGAGTGACCGGTCAGACGGGGAGTGGGCCGCATGGCGCTCCTGCCCCATTCCCACGTGCAGCGGGCAGGCTGCACCAGCCAATGGGCACCGTGAGGGGCTGCGCACCCCCAACTGCCAGCTCTTGCCATTTTTCAGAAGACAAAACGCAAACTTCTATGTGAAATCTGCCTAGTTGCAAAAGCTGGCAGCTAATTAAATTTTTAAAAATAATACTAACATAGTAAGAGCCAAACAAAATACGCAGGCCAGCCACAGCCAGGGCTGGCTGGTCTGCAGCCGGAACACCGTCTTTGACTTCAGCCATCCACTGCCCGCTCCCCCATCACACAGCTCCGAATCAGGGGGGGGGGGGGACTGAGGGAGCAGGGAGACAATAGCTCCCAGCCCCTCCCTTTTGCATGTGAGGAAGGTGAGGCTCGGAGTACATTGCTCGGCAAACACGTCAGCACCCACTCCATGCCAGGCCTGCTCTGCCTCAGGCTCGCCTGGGAAGGCCTTGCAGGGCCCGGGGTGATGCCCAGACCCGGTCTTGGCTCACCTGCTGGCTCGGAACAGCCTTGCCCGGGCCCAAGTGGCTGTCACAGGCTGAGGTGCAAAGGCCTTGTGACAGCAAAGAGAGGGAGGGCGCCCCTGTTTGGAAGAGAAGATGCAAGGAAGTGATGAGGAGTGGGGGGCCGATGGAATCGGGTCCACTCTGCAGACTCGCCCACCCCTTCGGCTCCCCAGCCCCCCGCAAGGCAGCCTCAGCCAAGTACCTCCCCATCTCCCCACCTCCCTGCACTCTCCATCCAAGATAGGCTGGGAAGACTGTGTCCGTGGGGTCGCGGAGTTTCAGGGGTGCATGGGATTACCTGTGCAAGATTCTCTGTGGAGTTTCAGGGGTGCATGGGATTACGAGTACAAGATTCTCTGTGGAGTTTCAGGGGTGCATGGGATTATGTGTGCAAGATTCTCTGCGGAGGAAGCCAGTGTGTGCCTGCAGGTATGTGAGGCACGTGTGTGCGAGGGACACACGTGGGTGGAGGCGCACACGCGTGTCAGGCAGGCACAGGAGTTTGAGCGAGACACAGCTAACGAGGCCTGTGTGTCCGGGGACCCCCGCGGACAAGGCAGGTTCGTGTGAAGCGGGGGTGCACAAAAGCGAGGTGTGAGAGATTCCTGTGAAGAGCCTGGACCTGTGAGGAGGGGGGTGCACACTCTATGACTGCAGGGGCTGGTGGTCTGGGGGCCTCACCGGGAGGCAGCAGGCCCACCCCATGCTGTCCTGAAGGTGGGGTGAGCCCCTGCAGAGCCTGCAGAACTCTCTGCTGGCCTCGGTGAGAGTGTGTGGCAGCGGGAATGGGGCTGGGGGTGTGTACAGTCTTGTTGAGCAAGAAGGTGGGGGCTGGGGGGTGCCTGACAGAGGGGCCTGCCCTGAGTCCTCCCTCTCAGGGGATGGGGACCTGAGACCTGAGGGCCTTGGGAGCTTGGGAGGGCTGGGGTGAGGGCAGGGAAGTGGGGGGCAAGACCAGGGCGAGGGGTGGGGATGGTGGCTGGCCCTGAGGGTGCTGGAGGCTGCACCCTCACCCTGCACGGAGCCCCCCACCCTGCCCCGGCCCCAGGGTGCATCTGTCCGGTCGGGTGGCTGCACTGTGCTCGGTCGCGGTCCTGCGGCTGCGGCCCTAGGACTAGACCCAGGCGGGCTGGGGGCGTGGACACCCCGCGGCGCCGATCGCGTGTCCGTGGGGCCACCGCACCGTCGGGGCGTCTGAGCTCCCCCGAGCCTCCGCGAGCGGCCGAGCGACGGCCAGCC